ACACACACACACACACACACACACACACACATCCATACACGGGCTGGAGCGCCTCCCACTTGTTCTAGTCCTCAGCCTCCCGCTGAGGGATGTGGCTGTGCCAAAGCAGGGCCTCCAACTTTGACATTTATACTGCTGCCAAAGCCCAAGTAAAGGCTACATTATTCCATAAGAGCAGAGACTCTCTATGATCACTCTCTTTGAAGGTCAGGCTGCTGCTAATGCTCTGTTTCAAAGAAGGCCAAAGAGGAGAGGAAGATGAGAGGGAGAAAGGAAAAGAAGAGAATGCCGATTGGTAAAAGGTGAGGAGATGAAAGAATTGGAGTGAAAAAGCTCTTTAGATGAGAAAAAGAGGGACAAGAGAAGAGTAGAGGAGAGGAGGGGAGAGGAGAGGAGAGGATGATGAGAGGAGAGAAAGGGATGACAGGCATCTGTGATTTACTGTGACCATAACTAAATGTTTATCCTCTATGAGCTCCGATTAGATTAGCGACATGTTAGGGACGGCACACACACACGCGCACATGCACACGCACACACACATCCACATGCACACACTAATGCACACATGCTAAAAACATTAGTATTGATTCAGGTGATTGCTTATCAGGCTGAGTGCTCTATTCACTATTGACTAAGAGGGATGTAATTAGTGCAGACTGTCATGTGTGGTGTGTGCACGTATGCACAAAAATACACACACACACACACACACACACACACACACACGTACATGGACAGGTGAACAGAAGCACATAAACATCTTTTTAATCAGAGGGGAATTGTGAGGCTGAATGTGTAAGAGACTAAAAAACCTGTAAAGACAGTGTGTTATGTACAAACATGATGACAAACACACACACACTCGACTTATCAGGTTTCACAGGCTGAAAGGGCGTTAACTAGGTGTTACAGAGGGGTCGATGCACTACCATCAATTTCAGTCTTCCTCTTCCTCTCTCTCACTCACTCTGTTTCTGTCTTTTTGTAATTTAGAGGTGGGAACACTTGGGAGGAAATAGTGTTGATCACTGCTTTCCATTAAACAACATATGCTCATCAGTCAAACTGTGTGTGAGAGTGTAGCGGTGTAGTGCGTACAGTGTTTGTAACTGAGGGATGAAGCGAGGATCAAAGCTGCATCACTAGAGACACAAGAGAGATGGCAAAGGTGAGAGAGAGAGAACTCTGGGGGGTAAAACATTGGGACAGAAGTGAAGTAAAGGAGAGACACAAGTGGAGGATGAAATGAGAGCGTATTAGAAAGGCACTGGGAATGACAGACTGCAGCGACGAGAGCCGAGGAAGTCCATCTGAAGCATGTTTGCGCCGCTAGAGAGCTACGTTTTGAGATGGTGTGAAAGATAGAGAGAGAGAAGAGGACAGCTTGAGAGGGATGGAGAGAGAACAGGACAGATTGATGGAGGGAGAAGCAGAGCCAGCGGGGGGAAAAGAGAGCGGGGCAAGGAGCGAAAGATGAAAAGGTAGATTACAAGTGCGTTTGAAAGAGGTGGAGTGGGGGGATGGCAGAAGGGTAGGAGAGATGATGGGTGGGTGATTGCACTGTTGGGTGCAATAGGAGTTTCATGCTTCAGGTTTGAAAATAATGATTGGTCGGCCTCTTCTTGTGTTGTCCATACCTTCTGCTTTTTCATCTCTTCCATCTTATCTGTCAATCAGTCTATTTCTCTCTCACTCTCATTTCACTCTGTTCTCTCTCTCTCTCCGTGCTTCTGCTTTTCTCTTCATTTTGCGCGTCTTATGGCGCAGTAGCTTTCATTTCCTGTTCCGTTCTCCACTCCATTTACATTTGGATGAAAAAAGCCCCCTCTAATGTATCGAGAATCTGATGTATTTGCTGAGGCCAGTTCAATGTGGACAGTGATTAAATTGGGATTGAAATTGACACCGTGAGGCAGCCAGGGTTGAAATGATTTCCCGCCAGACATTTTGTAAGGGCCCTTTCCCCCCCTAAATGCCAGCTGTTTAAATCATTCCCCCAATGTTCACTAGACTGGATAGAAGTGCTAGAGCCTTTTACACCTGGTAGAGCGTATTTCGAACAGCCTGAATGAAGGTTTTTTTAATCACTGAACTATAATATAACAATGTACAGTGCACCCACACAGTCTCTCTGTCTTCCTCTCTCTAATATACCCACACATACACGTTCCCTGCACTTCCTGCAGCCTTTGCTGGCAGCGAACTGAACAGCCATGCCTCATAAATGGGCTGATTTGCAGGCCATTCTGTTCTGTCCTGTTCTCGTTTAACAAAGTGCTGTTATGCTATTGTTACTGCAGGAGGGAAAACATGGGGGGAAAAATGCTGAAAGCTCCTCAGACACAGCACGGCGCTGACAAATCACATCAGTTATTGCTGTGTGTGTGCCATTATTGCTCCGCTGCGCATATATGCCTGCGTGCGTGTTTGTGTGTGAAGTCGGTGCTTTTTGTCCTCGTGAGGGTGCTTTGGCAGGCTGGCGAGCGATGAGAAGCTATAGCCATCGACTGGCATGGCCATGGATTCAGCAGATGGCCTTTCACTCAAAAAGCGCTCTCTCCTTTGGTCCTCACTTTTTCTCGCTCCTTGTAAAACATGTTACGGCTTCTGGCTGCTGGCATCTGAGTACGTACGTGTGTAAGCAGGTGTGTGTGTGTGTGCGTGTGTGTGTCTAATGATTCTTCACCCTCACGCTCATGAACTCCACCTCTGAATCGCTGCAGGCTTTGGTTGTTCGCCAGATTCCTGTGTTTTTCTTGATTATAATGTGGGAGTTGTGGCGAGCTGTCAACATTAAGTTGTTCCATCAATGTTTTTTTCAAGCTACCATCATGCTGTGTGTGTCTTGAAAAGCTGCGTTCACATCACCAACCCTGAACCTTTTTAGACATTACTTGAAGGAGCTTTGAATGTGAAGGCAAATGTCTGATTCACTTGAACCAGACACTGAACAGACTTTACCCTGCCAGCTCGAAAGCATAAAGTTTGTGTAATGTCCAATTGAGCCCATGTGTGAATAGAACAGGTTATTGTCTGAATTCACAGTGAGCGAGGGAGGTGTTGATGACTTTTTTCTATCCTGCCTCTTGCACCCTGTGCTGAAACCAAACAGATTATTTCCAGTATGTGGAAACGTGTCTCACATGGACAATCTCTGGTTATGCTCATCATGTGTTATAGAGTTCATATGTGAGAACAGCTATAGTCTGCCGTCATGGAGTGTATCTGCTGCCAGAGATTGAAATATTCAGCAGGGATTCAAGGGCTGCAATCTATTAAAGAAAATCCCTTAAAACTTCAAATAAGCAGTAATTCATTAGATAAATCCAGCTTTATTCCAATTGTTTCCACGGAGGTGAGATCAGCCTAAAATCTTCATTGGTTTCTCTCTTTTAGGTTTAGTTTTTATCAGAGATTAAAAAAAGGAGAAAAGAAAAAATACAGCTCCCTCAAGTCAGAGAAAAACGACAATTTCTGAGCGACTGAAAGATCGTAAGAGAAAGGCACAAAGGAAAGTGAGATGTCATTACGTGGCTGATTCTAGCTGAAAAACTCCTCAGTCTCACTAATAGAGAGCGGCAACAGCTCTACCTTCCTAACACAATAGCATGTCCTGTTGATGTGCATGTTTGTGCGCGTAAGCTCTTTCACCTCCGCAGCATCTGCTGTGCAGCCCTGGGTTATTCTTAAAAACTTAATGACAGAAAAGAGGGAGAGGAAGCCTGATTGAAAAAAATTAAAAGGGATGGGAGAGCACGCTCTGATGAAAACATGCTGTTGAAAGAACAGAAAGCAGAGTAAAGAGGTATTGGGAGAAAGAGACTGAAGAACTCTAATTGAGTGTGAAACAGCTCGA